AAGCCGTGAGCTGCCAGCTTCCCGAGGAGGATATTATGCTATATTATGCACTATATTCCTTCTAGGATCTAACCTGGAACTTCCATATGGCTATATGCTGTTCTCTGTAAATACACCAACTGACTAAATGCTACTTTAGGTATCTTCACTGTAAGGCTGGACTTAAGAGAATACACATTTTTAAAAAAAAAAAAAATTAGTTTGGGATATATAGTTTGTAGAGGGGATGGCTAAGAGCGAATATTACCGAAAGAAATGAGGTAAGCCCAGAGGTGGTGTTGGCAGCAGAAAGCAGATGCAGTTTATGCTGTCAGAACGTGGGTAGGGTGAAAAAACAAAGGAGTTTTGGGGTGAAGGTCTGGAATAGGCTTCCAGCTGAGTTGGAATTTACAAGTTTTTAAAAGCAGCTTGACTAGCTGTGAATGATTATATTCATATGACATGTGGTAGCAGGGACAGACCTGACGTTAACAGGTCCTTCCACTCCTATGTAATTCACAGAGGTAAGACTGGAATAATTTACAAAATAAGGCCCTCCAGTACCTGTGAGGTGCATAAGTAAACATCAGATAATGAATTTCAGAAACACTAACTTTCTCAGTTTTAGAAATCATTCCATCAGTTCATTTTACCAGTAAAAGCTACTTTAAAGTAGATAAAATCAAAATTTGTATTTAAAAGTTGTAGAAACCTATTGAATGAAACTTGCTCACAGATAAGAATCTGAATTATCTTGTGCATAACTTGGCATGTTGGAGTTTTCTTGCTTTGTTTTTGTGGACTTAATTGGTGCATAGGCTTTTTACCTACCCAGATGTCAGGTTTGCTGCAACAAGGATTAGACAAACAAGCAAAAAGGTTTCATTTTTTTTTTTTAAGAATTTAATATAAATTATTTTAGAAGGAAATAAGCCTGTCTATGAGTTATGTGCAACTAAACATAACATCATTACGCCAGTGCAGGGGAACTAGAAAGTAAATTTGGCTGAGCAGGGCTGAAACAGTCCAGATCTCTTTACAGCTGAAAGTGAAATGTAAGATATAAGCAATGAAAGTGGTAATGTAATTTTTATCTTAAAATAATTAGATGTCCACCTGTCTCCAGTCCCAAATAAGAAGTGTAAAAGCTTTTCAGGGAATTTGTTTCAATTTTTGGCTTGATTCCAGCCTTCTTAAGAACCGTCTAGCTGACTTCCTGCTTTAATAGCTGCTGAAAGTTTCTTGAACTTGTGCAGACCTACTGTACAGTTACTGGGCCAGCTTAGCCATTCTCCTTATCCCTTCATAGGGTAATGCTTGTGGCAAGGTGAAATAAATCTTGCCTTTATGGCATGAGGATGACCTGACCTCCACTTAAGATCCAAACTTCTGTAGTACACAGATCCTGAAAGAAGCAATGGTACAGTCCTGCCGCTGTGAAGGGAAAAAACAAATGGGAGCTAGTTACAGGGGATGAATTCAGGAGTGCACACTCGACTCTCGGGCTGGATTTCTTCAGCAGTCCTTCATCTGGGGTTTAGTCTGGAGGGACATTTTTTCACATAGCAGCAGCATGTAGCCCAGCAATGGGGCTCTGGTGCTGATGTCTGCATCTTTCCTCATTAAGTAGCTGTGCAAATGGCTTAAGGTATGCCTAATCACTTAACACTAATTGCAGAGGCTGAGGTGGAAAAAGGTTATATACCCAACCATGTATATACCATCTGTTTCTAATGTGTATGTAAGAACAATTCATATTCCTTCACAGTATGTGTAATTGAAGTGTTGCTTTTGTAGAAAAAGACATGAAATATAAACAATTTCTCTCACTGATACTTGTCCTTTTTTTCCAGCATTAGACTGCATGTAGACACACTAACATTCCTCCTCTGCCTGGAGGAACATTGAAAAACCATTTGAACATAAGGATAGTGCCCAAATGCTTTATCAATTTAATTTCTCATGTTGGCTTAGTTTTCATACCTCTGAGTTTCATTTCATGGAACTAGTAGTAAAGAATTAGTAATATTTTTGGTGTGGTGATATTAACACAGCAGAAGGTAAAAAGGGTTATTTGAATTCCAAAAGCTAGAAGATTATTTTCATGCAAAAGCACCATTCTTAAGTCTCAGCTGGTATCCCATTAAAAGCAAAAATGCACGTAGTGGTGACTGTTGTTTCCAAAAGATCTATGCATGAAATATAATGGATATTAAGAACCTTGGATAAAGTGAAGTGTCAGTAGGTACTTGCTGTATTTATTTATTTTTGCTTATACTATTAATTTTCAAACTGACACCGCAAAAATGTCTGTAAAAGGTGAGCTAGAAATAATTTTAATTATGCACTCTACGTGTCACTGAATTTGATTTGCTAGTACAAAAGCACGGGATGACAGCCTTTACATCTTTGTATTATTTGTACTTTGGACTCTTGCTTAATAGTCATTCTTCCTTTGCATCTGGTGTGTGATCTTGTGGAACTCTTAGGCTTATAGTATTTTGACTCCATTTGGTAGTGGTGCTTACAATGGGATAGGGTTACATACTGAAAGCTAATGGACTTATCAGCTAAAGGAAGGTCATAGCCCTAAGAATGATTGAACCCTCTTCCCACAATACTGTACCTCATGAGTGATCCTGAAGAATCACAAAGCCTTGGATTTAAATTTGGATTCCATACAGTTAAGCTGCCAGTACACTGTGAGGTATATTGAAATGGTTTGCTGTTAACACCATCAAAATATGTTTTCAGTGGAAGTATTGAGCAACTGAGTCTGCAATTTGTAGACGCTCCTGCTGTTTGAGAACGTGATCAGATCTGTAGAGATGTAGCCTGCACTTTGGTCTTCTCAGGCTGATCAGTTTAACATTTTTCAGCTCTTCTAGAAGAAAGGTTTGCCTTGAAAACATACTTTAATTTTCTCTCTGTTCTGTCCGTCCACTCAACATAGGTTAGCTTTGTGCTCTTCATTACTCAGCATAATGTAAATGCACTTTATTCCATTTTGAAAGGAATCATCATGGTTGGTTGATTGAATGAAATACAAACAACATCCCTTCCCATCAGACATTTACAGTAGATCAAAACCAAAATGAAAATTCAAATGTTAAAAGCTGCTTCCTCAAACAGTGACAAAGAGTAGTCATGAGCGAATGAGAGCTGAAACACTTCAGTCGTATTTAGTTCCACAAATAGGTTTTGCTTTTGGTCAGGCTTCCTGTATTTTGTGAGCTTGCATGTGTTCAACAGTGCACTATGAACAGCAGCAACAGTTACTTTAATTTTGTAATCATGTGGCAAAGCAGAAAAATATCTGCAATGTATTTCATGGACAAAGATTCCAAACTGTCTAACTTATTTCAACAGGCGAGCAGTCCTACCACAGGAACAGCTCCCAGGAGTCAGTCACGGTTGTCTGTCTGCCCTTCCACTCAGGACATTTGTAGGTATGTGCTGAGAAAAATATACTCTAATCTGGCTGATACTTGTTAGTTGTTTTTATTAAATAATATGTAGCTCTTGCTTTTGCTTAACACGATTCATAATTTACGCAGAGTTTAGTTTTCTTTTGATCTCTCTTTGATTTGGCTCTGTTTTTGCTTTTCAGTCTCATGTTTTTCTATTAAAATTCATGTTCTCATTTTCATCCTTTTTTTGTGATTTCTCTCTTTCCACCCACCCTTACCATTTCCATCCCTTTCCTTTGCTTACTGCTTTGTCTAGATCTACTACCTTGCATGATTTGTCAGAAGATGAGCTTGAACATGCAACCCCTGTCATGGTGCTGACCCCTTCTAATAGGGAGTCTGGTAAGAAACAAGTAAAACGAAGGTTTAGGCGGAAAAGAGAGACTGGAGACAATGGTGAGCATACAGAAAAGCAAGGAAAGGGGAAAGACTTTAAATTGCATCCTGAGCCTGCGAGATCCAGCTGGAATGCATCTGATTCATCATCATCTTCGGATGAGAGTCAGTGGGCTCAGGCTAGGAGGAGAGCAAGAGAAAAGGCCAGAATGCCCAGGAGAGGGAGAAGGAACAATAGATCATGCAGTAACCAGGATGGGTCCTCAAACAATAATGCTGTTGAACTTGTCACCTTGGGGACAATGGGGAAAAAGAAGCAAGAGGTATTTGACCCTGAGAATCCTACTTTAAACCACCGCCAAAGAAGGGTTCCAAGGCTTAAGGAATCACAGTCTTCAGCATCCTCTCAGGAAGCAAGGATTTCCTCAAGCAAATGTGGGAAAAGCAAAGGGAAAAGCTACTACAGAGGTCGGCAGCCTGCGTCTTCTCTTAGCCACAATAAAGATTCGAAGGACTGCTTTGCAGAGGCAGGCTCTGGCAGCGATGCTCTGGCAGTCCCAGATAACGGAGCACCTGCTGGGGCAGGGCCCAGTGTGACTGACGCTGTCCAGAAGCCTCCAGTGTTGTATGATGACTGGTCTGATGATTTAGAAGTATGCAGGTTAGTCCCTAATAAGAAAGATTTAACGTACTTAAGAGGAATTTCTCACCACCGTGGGCTGAGTGCCCTTCTCTTGACTGCTTTCTGTCACTGTTTCTCAGTAATAAACTGCTAGGCAGGCCGTAAGAAGCAACAGAGAAACTTTTGCTACAGAGAACTTAAGCGTATCTCAATCTGAGACATACTTCTCTTATTTAGAAACAGTAAGCCTACAAGGGAACCATATATTTTTCTTTGCTCCATTTTTCTTCATGAAGATGGACACGCTGTGTCCTCTGGCAGAGTATTACTGTGTTTCAAATCTCCAGCCAGAGGCAGAGAATGAGGCAGAGTGCCAGATAGCTCAATACAATGGGATATAGAGTTTTTCCTCCTTAGGTGATCAGTTCGAACCCAGCTTTGGTCCCTCTTTGTCATTTTTCGTTGATTTACACAAGATAAATTTATGGTCTTGATTCAGTGTCCTCTAGAGCTGCCATTACCACAGCAATCTGATGGACGGTGCCTGCAAAACACCCTCTCCAGTCGGGCATAAGCTGTACAGGACTTTGCACTGCTGAAAACCTCTACACTGTGAACATGTAGGGGCTGTTAGTTTGGTATCCATCACAAGGATTGGAATGATACAAAGGATGATCGGGCAGAATAAGCACTAAAATAAGCTTTGGGAAAGAAAAAGCAACACCAACAGTTCTTTCTAGTTCAGAAGTTCAGGCTTCTGACAGTCTGATACTCTTGGTGTGAAGCATACAGTCAGAAGGTGAGCTTTTTCCCCTGGAAATGAGAGCGAGCTGGCCACTTGTGAGCTAAAGTCCAAATTCAGAGTAAACAGCTGGGTGGACTTGAGTTACTTAGTTTAGTGGTAAGTGAAAATGCACCATCCCATAAGTTTAACAGAACTGAAACAAGTATTTCTTTTTTTTTTTTTTTTTTTCCCCCGTCTCCCCAAACTTGTGAGCCAGCACTGACTCTCATCTACAAAGTGTAAATGAGGATCAGGCTTAGTTTCTTCATACAGTAACCCAAAACTTCTCACTTTTCTTTGCTGGGAAGAAATTTGCATGGAAATGTAAACACAGTTAGAATGAGGAAGTTCACTATGCCACATCATGCAGTTTCACAGTATACTTCAACCTAGTAACACACGACAAAGATCCTAGTTTTAAAAAGAAAAAAAGATGACATGCCGACATTGTGCTTTTTCGCAGCAGGAGATAGAAGCCATTACTAATACAGCTAGTGCTATGCGCTCCTTGTTATATTTACTGAGCAAGAATGGACATTTCAGTTGTCCGACCATTGTCTGTCATGATAATTTAAGATTTTTCAGAGTAAAGTCCAGCTGTGTTTGTACATCCACTTGTACATCAGGACCCCACCCCTGGCTTGGGACCTTGTCACCTTACAGAAATGCAAAGAAACAGCAGCAGTGGTAATTATGTTACACATTTTTGAAGCACTTGAAGTATGTCTACACAGTATGATGCAGAGATGTGCACAGATAACTACTGCAACAACTTCAGAGTTGTTTTCAATTTCTGAACCACCAAGCCTGCATGTATTAAAGATCCAGTGTAGCAGGCACAGTACATATATAATAGGCCCATTAAATAATTATTAACTGAATATGAGCTACCCCAAAACTGAAGTAGATTATTTCAGTATGGGTCTTCATATGGACTTAACTATACTCTGTTAAAAAAAAGAGAAATTAAAGTCAAAGTTTTGTAATTGTCTCTTGTAGATTAATCCAAACTGTTGCCTAAGTCCCCAGACTTAGACTTTGTTTTCAGATGGAAAGTGGACTCCAGTCTTTTCTCTGTCTTCTCGACCCATTCAATTTTATTATAATTATTCAGGCACTTTTTGTAAGACTTGGAGCTTGGTTCAGGGATGGAATTTTGGATATGCATACAAACTTCTCATCTAGGCTTTTGTTTAGTAGAGGAAGGTTGAAAACTTTTGATAGGTATGTGTTCTTAGGCTTCCTATCAGTGGAGATGCTCTTTGAACAACCAGAGTTAAGTTCAACACGGTTGATAACTTAGCCTATTGTGCAAAATATGTCAAGAGAGTCATAATTGCATTTTTCTTCATGTCAGGGATAATGCTATTTTTGTTGTTGTTGTCATTACTAGGTGTATCATAGTGATGATAATACATCTAGGAAAAACATTACAAAATCAAAAGCATGTTAATTTTTCATAACTGGTAAGTTATCTTCCTTAATCAATTTACAGACAGCTGAAGAAAAAGGAAGACATGTTTTTACTACCAATTCAGTATAGACTGTAGTTTCTGGTTTCCAGGATAGGCCCATGCACTTAATTGACTCATGATCTGTAGTATGTTTTTCTTCAGATTCACAATCTTGCATCTGAAACAAAAAAAAGAATTAGATTTCAATGCAGATGTGCGCATGTACAGTAACCATTTTTCTGCATGAGAAATGAAAAAGGAGGTTTTTGTGATGTTTATTCTAAGACTGGAATTAACGTAGCTGGTTGTGATGTGGAAAATTTGTTTTGTTTAGGTGTTTCTTCAAGCTTTTCATCCTAAGTATTCATGTCTTCTAGTTGATGTGACAAAACTGGCTGAGAGAAAATGGTCCCACCTAGATGGGATTGTGTGGAAATAGCAGAGGAACAGGAGTCTTAAACATCTCCTGGTGCCAGTTATTTTGTCTTTAAGTGCTTGGGTAGGCAATTTTTTTTTCTTTACTTCCTCATGAATTACTGGCAGTGGAACACATTTATATATGCACCTAAATTTAGGTTTAGTCTGGAGAAGAGGAGGCTGAGGGGAGACCTTATGGCTCTCTACAACTACCTGAAAGGACATTGTAGTGAGGTGGGTATTGGTCTCTTCTCCCAGGTAACTAGAAATAGGATGAGAGGAAATGGCCCAAAGTGCATCAGGGGAGGTTTAGATTGGATATTAGGAGAAATTTCCTAACTGAAAGAGTGGTCAGGCATTGGAACAGGGCTGCCCAGAGAGGTGATGGAGTCACCATTCCTGGAGGTGTTCAAAAAATGTGTAGATGTGGCACTTTGGGACATGGTTTAGTAGGCATGGTGGTATTGGGTTGACAGTTGGACTAGATGATTTTAGAGGTCTTTTCCAACCTTAGTGATTCTGTTCTATTCTATTCTGTTCTGTTCTGTTCTGTTCTGTTCTGTTCTAAGGCTATGAGCAGTTTCCTCAATGGGCATTTGGCTGCATGAGTGGGAATGTGACAGACACACCCAATTCTAGCATAAGCACATTAGTCAGATAAAGTATAGTACCATGGTGCAATATATACATCAGCTAGTCTAATGTAGGCCTCTTGGTCACTTCAAGTGAGATATTTCCCTTTCTAGTGTCACTTTATCTCTATTTCCAAAATGAAGAAACAATGACATGACACCAGTGATGAGCTTTACAATCTCTTCCCTGAACATGCTCCTTTCTTCTGGCATCCATTAGAAGGCAAAGTTTCTGCCTCTGGGATTAGGGACAACTATATAAATTCTGACCATGCTGAGTTGTTTTGGCATCTAATTTTTTTTATTGAGGTTCACAGGATAGACTTTCTAAATCATACCTTTGGATCTCCCTTTTCCTAAGTTGCCCTGTGTCTGAGATGTTCTTAGTATGTACTTTATTCTGGAATTTGCTACGTGTCTTGTGGCACAACATCAGAAATAACTTTCTTTGGTCTTCATAAAGGTAATCTTCCTGAAGGGAAAAACTATGTGTGGGACACGATAAAGTGAGTGGATTATGAGTCTCATGGATTTTCATGGGGAAATTACTAAGGAAAGAAAATTGGTTAGTTCATATTACCACTAGTGTATCATAAATGCTTTGTGTATTGAATCTGAATTAATGTTACACTATTTTTGTTATTTATGATGGGAGAATTGAAAGATATTTTCTGTTTGACTACTTATGCTTTTGGTGTAAAATCTTTTTGTAGTACTGATGCAGTCATTTCAGC